GAACATTGTAATATCTTAACATTTTATTCAAGATGCTTCTTTTATCTAGTTTTCAATATATTATGTACCTTCGTTCAAATATTGTAGTTATAACTATATGAAAACCATTTAATATATAATAATTGTAACAGTTATACTCTGGAGGCATATTGTAAACGTAAAAAAGCTTCAATTAGTAATTCAAACTTCAAACAGTAAAAGGAGTAATAATTCTAGACCAGTTCTGTGGAACACATTACTGCCCTTCTAACGTTTATTTTAATTCCGAAATGCCGTTCATAATCGTGACATAATTTACATTTCAGGATGTTCCACTATACCATATAATTATTTAAAAACAAACAAGCTCAAACTGGTTAATATTGATATTATTGAATTAAATGTTTTTATCAATCAACAGATTATTGCTAGTAATTTTAAATAAGTCATAGAACGTTCATGCTTCAGATGTGGTAATTAAGCTACTTATTTAGTGCAATGCAAAAAGCAGGTTTCTCACCGAGCTAATAAGCCGTACCTAGGTAACCATATGACATTTTTTTAAGTATCTTCCTTTTTTTGAAGTCATTGCTCGATTGATATTGTTAGCTAATTGAGCAATTTTTCAAAAGCATATAAAACTTTAGCAAGAAAAACTTTTTGTTTCAAGCGAGGTAACTTACTCATTATCACAGCAATGTAGGGATGTCAATTACACCAACCACAGTGTATCACAATTACTTGGTTTATTACTTAATACTATGTAGGGACTGTTACATTTATCCCAGCTTTCTGTAAAACTAATTTTACTATTAGATTGGACTGAGTTACCTACTTGACATCACATCTCTATTTAGTTTGCATATGCAATAATATTATTCATTTATTTTATTTTCTGCCCCCTCAAATGTAACAATTTTTGTACTTGTGATGATATCCTTTCAAAAACACATACCTATACACATAAACAAAATAGATCTTCATTGTGGTCGTCGCAATATTATAACTACTATTATTCTTTTGGTGAGAATGATTTTCAAATTAAGTAATTTGTAAAATACCTTCAGATCTCGATGTACAACCCCTTGTTCATGCATATAGTCAACAGCCTCCAAAACTTGTCTAATTAAGTCAGCAGCATCCTTTTCAGTGTATGAACCCTTTTCAACTATACGGTCAAAAAGTTCACCACCAGTGACTCTTAAAAGTAAGTGAACAAGTGAAAACTATTAAAATTTTTACCTTTATTTACTTACAATTCCATAACTAAGTAGACTTTATTTTTATCCTCAAATGTTTCAAGTAGCTGCACTATATTAGGATGAACTAACCTAAAACAATGAACATTAAGATATGATATTAAGTTCAAAAGATAACTTACTTTCTAAGAACTTTAATTTCATTCTCTAATGAGTCTTCTTTGCCTTTGAGTGCTTTCTTGTCTATTATTTTTACAGCATATAGCTCACCTGGTCTTTCTTTACTTTCAGCCAATCTTACTACTGAGAAAGCTCCTCTACAAGATTTAAAATTTAAAGAATTTCAACATTTTGA